TTAATCATTCCCTTGGCTCAGCTGATAAGGGAGGAAAGCTTGTGGCTTTGAGGCTAACACAACTGCCTAACATGTAAAAACAGCACAGATTCGAATCCCAGTAAGGGTATGGCTAGCTGATGAGAGCTAAATAGCTTGAAATAGATCTATACTAGTCTCCCTTTATTTATTTATCAGCACAAATGCAACACACACACACACACACACATATATTTGATTTAACTTGATATGAATTGTAGGTGATGACTGTGGAAGAAGGGATGAACGAAAGCTCTTTGTAACCAATTGACACACTCTTTACAATTTGTAACGGAAGATATTTTTGTGGTGTTTGTTGTGTTTTGTCTGTTTGTGTTTATTCAAAAATAAAAAAAATATTTAAAAAAGAGAAGAAATTGAGAGTATTTTCTGTACTTTGTTTTCTACCCAAAAACATATTCTATTTGTTTTCGTAGGTTCTTGCTTCTCTCCTGGATATGGTTTATCAAAGTGATGAAAAAGAGAAAGCAGTCCCATTAATCTCACGCTTGCTCTACTATGTGTTTCCTTACTTACGCAATCACAGGTAAATCCATTTGTCCTTGGATTATATATATGTAACTATATAAAGTACATTTTTTAGACCAGCCCAATTCTAGATAGTTCTCAGTTAACAACTACAGACTATTCAACGACCATTCAAAGTTACAATGGTGATAAACAAGGAGTTGTTACATTCGATCCCCAAAGTTCTGGCCATCCCACCACTCCCCAAACATGTAACCACAATCTGAGCAGTTGTCAGCTGGCTTTCACTTATGACATGCAGAAGACTATTCTTTTGTCTAACACTGAAAATATACTTGATAATAAATTAAATTGGCATTCTTTCATTCATTCATGCAATTAAATTGGCATTCATTCATTCAAGTATATATTGCTTCATAGGACAGTTGACTTCAGCCCAGTTATATAATCAGTCCTATTCCTCACAATACAACTTAAACCATTCCAGTAGTATTAATCTAATATGCTACTAAAGTATTTTAAGTCATTGAAATTTAGTTAATTTTCTAGTTTGTGTGCATGGTGTATTACTAAAAATTGAAAATCAAGTACAGTTTAATGGTGTAGCGGGAATACTATCTGATCAGCATTGCAGAATTTAGTATGTGGAGATATACTGTGTAAGAATTGTGTATACGTATGTGATCTGCTCATTTTCTTCCTGTGTCTTTACAGTGCCTATAATCTTCCTAGTTTCCATGCTAGCACTCAGTTGTTAAGTTCCTTAAGCGGTTACGCTTATACTAAACGAGCATGGAAGAAAGATGTTTTAGATCTGTTTATGGATCCGGCTTTTTTTCAGATGGATACCTCATGCATTCAGTAAGATATACATTTAAAACAATCTTGTGACTTGTTTTTGATTGAACTAAGTGGCAAATTAGTCGTGCTTGGAATCAAGTTAGTTAAATTCATTGGCCTTCATTAAAGAAATTAAATGAAATGACATTACTGTGCAAAGAAAAAAATCTTAATACTATTTTCATCCTCTATTTTTTCTCTGGTGTGATTTTAAAGAAATGCAAGATTTGATATGTAACTTTAAATACAATTCTTGTGGCACCTGAAATTGAACACATTCATTATAGTTTAGGTTTGTGGATTATAATGCATAAAAGAGTGTTTTAAGAGAAACATTAGACTTTAAGGTGCCACAAGAAACTTGGATGATTTTGCTGCAAAAAGGAAATATAATTACCTTCCTCTGAATAGTAATTAAAATGATATTTCAAAAAAAAAGTCAGCTTTATAGAACATTAGTTATAAATTACCTAAGCTCTCATGACTTGTCATAAATGAAAAGCATATGAACCAGTTTTCATAGACTCACTATGTAAAATATTTGCAGATTTTTCATGGTACATGGTTTCCATTCCAGTTACACCAAACTTTACTTTTTTTTTTCAGCTGGCGAACCATTATCGATCACTTACTAACACATGAAAAAACTATGTTTAAAGATTTGATGAGTAAGAATTTTCTCATAATTGTTACCTACTAACTGCTAGAAAATATAGAATACAAATAGAGAATTGAAAAACCACAAAGCCTATTTATTTGTTCATTTATTAGATTTTATATAATGGTAGTACCAAAGTTTTTGTCTATTTACATTCAGAAAAAGATGAAAACTAAATGCCACTAACAATATAAAGCACAAATGAAGTTAATAGCTTGGACCAGTGACGTGAGGTGAGGTTTATGGCAGGTGAGGCAAAAAGAAAGAAAGCAGCTTTTGGCCGCCCCGCAAGGCAAAAGCCGAAAGAAAGCACTCCGCTGCTTCTGTCTGACATAGAGGTGTCCTGCGCCCCGCAGCTATGTCTGACCCAGCTGCGGGGCGCGGGGCGCCTCTATGTCAGACAGAAGCGGTGGGGCTTTAAAGCCCCGGCGCTGTGTCCTCCATAGAGGCTTTTGGATGTCCTGCCGCTGTGTCCACCATAGAGGCTTTTTGACGCCCTGCTGCTGTGTCCGCCATAGTGGCTTTTGGACGCCCTGCCGCTGTGTCNCTATTAAAGTACATTCCAGTTAAGCTTGTCTCGGCATTCATTACTGGATGGAGAAGGGGTCAGAACAGTTTTATATATATATATATATATATATATATATTTACTTGTACAAAGTAAAAGAAATATTTTTGTATACAACTTTTAATATTTTATTTATTCACTAAACAAATTTAGGTAGCTATCAATCTATAAGAAAGAACTCTAGGCAGTGAAGGAGAAACCACAGTATAAAATAAACAACAAACCAACCAACAAACCATTTAAAACAACACTGAACATTTTGCCTCTTGATAAAACATGTTTCCCTCAATCACACCATGCTAGTTCCATTAACATTCTGAGCCAAGTGCCTGAAGAAAAAACAGGTCCTCACTGCTTTTCAATAATGTTCGGAGCCAAGATACAAAACTTTTTTTCCTATCATCTTCTAATTTACAATTATAACCAAAGCTTTAGGTGTTTGGTCAAATTGTGAATTTCAAAAAATTTCTAAGTAATAGAAGCTGACACAAACTCTATATAATGAAAAGATAAACACAATACCTTTTTGCAAATGTGAATGATACTAATTATATGCAGTTGGTAATAGATTCAGATTCAAAACGGCTATTGCTACTGAAGATGTGCATGCTTCTGCGCATGCTGAATGGATTTGTTTAGACCTGGTCAAGGTCAACCATCTCTGCATACCAGATGGATTAAGCCACCTGAAGATGCACCCCACATGACACCCTTGGGGGTGGGAGATTGGACATTTAGCTTGGAGTTGTTGGGTGGAGGGATTTGGGTAAACTTTTGATATATACAATTTTGTGCCTTTAGCCTCTTGCTTTACTTTCATTGGAGTTGGGGGTTTCCTTTTTTGGATTTTGAAGGAGACACATCTGACACTATGTTTGTTGGTTAGTGTGCCAACAGTGATTCTCTTCAACTGTTGCTACTGACAATTTTACGTGCTTTGGTTATATACTATCTTACAACTGCAATGCACTTTATGTGGGGTTACTTTTGAGAAGTATCCAGAATTTATATCAGCTGTTAATCAGTGTAATAATGCCTGTATTGAAAGATATATGCTGTATGCTATTGTTACCAAATCCAGTGTAAGGTGCCAGTTTAAAGCCTTAACCTGCTTAGAGCCCATCGATGTGAGGAACCACAAGGCAATGTACTAAAGTACCAAAGCAAATTTAAAAAAATCTATAAAGTCTGAAATACAAATTTTGATGCCAGTTGATCAGAAATATATATGACGTTGTCAGCCCCACTTAGTTTATCAAACCTGGAAATCAATTTCATAGGATGATTAAAATGATTTTTATGGAGACCATCTATAACAACAGAATCTTGCAACTGTATGATATACACTTTTTACACTCCAGTGAATTGAGGTTTCTGCCTCACTTCCAAATAACATCTCATTGCTCAATACTTATTGTAAAAATGTGCCAACATCTTAGTAACATTTTAAACTATTTTTTCTCTTTCTTCAAACATATATTGAAATACAACCTCCTACTTTTACATATATTATTTTACCTTGAAAAGAATGAGCAAAAAGAAACAAATTCATGGAACAGGTGGATACTATTGTAGTATGCAATGTATGTCCCATGTATGTGCTTATGCCCAAAGAACACCCAAATTCTACATGTATTAAATGTAAACTATGTGAACTACTAGAAGAAAAAGTAAGGGATCTAGAGGCAACTCTAACCAAACTCCAACCTATGCAAGAAAGCTATTTTGAAACAAATAATGAACAAATAACTCCCAGAGGATTTGACTCTGCTGATAAACACTTGGAGTAAGACAAATGTCACACATAGAAGGAAACACAATAATCAAAGAAAGAAGCATCACACATATAACAAACTCCTACTGCCCAGTCTAACTGAACCAGAAGCAGCCCCATTAAAACTGAGCAATCAATTTCTCCTCCTAGATGCAAATATGCAGACCCACAACCTTTCCCTCAAAGAAAACATGCAGACACCTAGAAAAGAGATCTCATCAAATATCCCTTAAAAAGTCACATCAACAAACACAGCTGACATAAACAGAAAAGCAACCCAGACTGCACCTCCCATAAAAGGAAGGAGAGTGTTGGTGATAGGAGATTCTATAATCAAAGCAAGAGAACCAGCCATCTAAAGACCAGACATATAATCTAGGGAGGTATGTTATCTCCCTGGAGCAAAAATCAAAGATGTGGCTGAGAACCCAACCAAAATAATTAGGCCTACAGATTACTACCTTTCCTCCTCTTTCACATTGGGACGAATGACTTAATAAAGAACTTGAGTATAATATTGAGAGATTATAAGCAACTATGCCCGTGATGGCAACCTATGGCATGTGTGCCACAGGTGACACGTGGAGCCATTTGTTAAGGCACATGAGGTGTTGCCCTGTCAGCTCCAGCATGCATGTGCGTGCTGGCCAGCTGACTTGGGCCTTTATTTTTGGCTAATTTTTGCTCTCCAGAAACTTCAGGAGGCTTCCCTGAAATCTCCAGAGGGTGAAAAACAGCCCTATGGATAACCTAGAAGTAGGGACATTTTTCGCCCTCTGGAGGGTGAAAAACGCCCCTATGGGCAATCCGGAAGTCTGTTCCAGAACATTGCTGGTAGGGCCATTTTTTGCCCTCCGGACGCTTCAGGGAAGCTTCCTAAAGTCTCTCGAGAGGCTCCAGAGGCCGTTTTCACCCTCTCCAGGCTCCTAGAAAGCTTCTGGAACCTGGGGAAGGCGAAAAACAAGTATATTGTCTGCCAAAAGCAGGGGGGAGGGGGAGGGTCATGTGCACATGTGTGTGGGGTTGTGCACATTGCATTATGGGTGTGGGCAGGTCCACGCACGACCCCTGTGCTCCCCCATTTTTGGCACATGATGGGAAAAAGTTAGCCATCACTGAACTAGGCAACAAAGTTAAGGAGCTAGGAGCACAAGTAGTATTCTCATCAGTACTCCTAATGAAAGGTCAACATCCATTGAGGGGAAAAATTGGATCATGGACTGCATTACTTACATGAAGGACTCTTGGCAAGGGATGGGCTGCACCTCATGAAAATGTGAAAATGTTCTCAGAAAAAGACTGGCCCAGCTCATCAGAAGGGCTTTAAACTAAAATTGAGGTGCGGGGAGGTGACCAATCTTCAGAAAATCTCTAGAACACAAAACCAATCATAAATCCCAAGAAAACAAATCAAATAATAAAGTAGGGAGTGATGAGGGGAAAAAAATCTCAAACAACCATTAGGAGATGCAGGAAACATATGCATGGACAGGCATAAAAGTCTTAAATGCTTATAGACAAATGCTCAAAGCTTGGGGAACAAACAGGGTGAAATAGGAGCAACAGTATATGAGGGCAAGTATGACATAGTTGCCATTACAGAAACCTGATGGGATGAAACCCATGACTGGAATTTATTAATGGATACAAATTGATCAAAAGAATCAGATCTAAGAAAATAGGACATAGAGTTGCACTATATGTAAGAGATCACTACATATCTACAGAAATACACATGATCAAAGATAAAACCCCTCCAGAATATATATGGATCAATATAAAAGGGGGAAAAAGTGACATTGTCATAAGTGTATTTATAGGCCACCCAATCAATCAGAAGAAATAGATGAACTCTTCGCCAACTAGTTAATTAATGTATGTAGGAAGGATACCACAGTAGTAGTGGGCAACTTTAACTATCCATATATCAACTGGGAGACAAACTCTGCAGCAAGTGGAAGATCAAACAGATTCCTAACCAAGCTAGCCAACAACTTTGTCATCCAAAAGCTAGAGCAAAGTAGAAGTATTGGATATTGGATATAAGTTTATTTATAGGCCGCCCTTTTCCCTGAGGGGACTCAGGGCAGCTAACAACTTATAGGGAGGGGATACAAACAGT